GAGGGCGACATAATGAGACTCTGTCTCAAGAAAAAACACCATAAATATATAAATAAATAATCAACATAGTAGAGCCCCTACATCATAAGAAGAGGACCTTTAAGAATTAGGTCTAAATTTGTTCATTAGCATGAGTAACATCAGAATGCAGTATGCTTTAAAGAAAATAATTTACATGTCCTATTTACTGTGGCATACATTCTTTTTGGGGGAAGAATCATGCTCAGTGACATAAACTAATGCCATTCTTCAACTTTTCTGCTTCTAAAAGCAGTATTTATCAATGACAAAATGAAGACTGAAAGACTTAAATTTATGTCAACAAAATTGAAAACCATACATACAGGTTACAGTGTTAACCTAGTATAAAAGAAAAATGTTTAAATTTTCTAAGAAAAATTCATAAATAAAGAACCCAGAAAGCATTAGTTTTCTAATGTTTTCTTAAGAAAATATGCCACAAAAACAAAAGCAAAAAAGAAAGAAAACAAAAAAATTATTTTTAATAATGTAATGATAATCACATTAAGGATAGATATTCACCTTCTTTGGGTTGAGCCATAACTGGAGTCTGGGTTTCCTTTGTATATGTGACGATTTCTCGAGGAGGAAAATCAACTTGTGTAATTTTAGCCATTCCAAGCTTAATAGGTCCGCGTCTAAATTAAGTGAATACAAACAATATATTTTAATTACATCAAACCATGTTGTCTTTAAAAATTGTCACTTATATCCAAGATTATAATCTATATCCCTGTTTTACTCAAGAAATTTTAGATCGAGAATGAAGTGATTTGGTTTTATCAAAGAATTAGAACACAGCAAACCAAAAAGTATTTCTGAATCATTCAAGGTATTTTTCATTTTAAAAAGCAAATAGAACAAGTATGTGGGTAATAATAGAACAAGAAGACAGGAAGTGGACTACTGAATAAGAGTGTGTATAAGAACTGTTTTTAGCAGGAATATGATTCTGTACTTTTCAAAGAGTCAAATATATGATTTTACTCAGACCATATTTAATTCCCTTCATCATTAGGAAACTTCAGCTTTAGGACTGAAAGGTTTCTGTTAAAAGCCTTTTTCTTACTCTTGTACTATGTATGTGGCAGAAATTGAGAATCACACTGTAAACTGGACTTTAAAATGAAAGATCTAAAATTTTTTAATCTATAATTTCTGCACGGTCAATATTGATTCATATGTGGGCAAACCAAGATCTAGTCTCTAAGCTAAAGCAACAAATCTCTTGAATATCATAAACCTACTAAAGTCAATTCTGTTTTAGTTAGAGGGAATATATTCTTTTTTGACAAATGGAAGAAAATTGTAGCTGAAAAAAAATGGACCAAAAGAAAAATATTTATTAGCTATGGGGGGGAAGGATATTTTATAATTCATTATATTAAACATTTAAATTCCAAACCAAGTAAAGTATGCTTTCAAACTCCCAAAGAGCTCAATTATGAAGCTATCCTGAAAGGATATTCAAGAAAGATACTGCTGCAACTTCCTGAATATCAAGTAGGGTATCTGAAACATATGTAATATGTAACTTTTTTCTTATATAAATATCCTGTTCAATTCTGTTTAGTAACTAAATCCAAATCCAATACAAAGTATAAAAGTAGTACTTTTTTTTTTTATAAAATTAGTACATTTTAAAAATTAATTTTCTCTAAGGTCCCAAATGGATGCCATAAGAACATTTTAAAATACATTTGAAGTAATCTAGTATTCTAAGACTAAAATTGAAATAAGAGACTCTTTATTCTTATTTCTAAGATGCAAATCATATGAAAAGTAAATCACTCACATATCTGGAAAGAAATGTTCAAGCCAGCAATATTAGGAGCAAGTTACTAACTTGAAAGCATATAGAGTGTAACAGACAAAAATTAACAATATTAAAGCAAATTAACAAAACATTCCAAGATCTGGGGGAAGAAAAGTAGGGATGTAATACCTCACTTATCCAAAGCCACTTTTATTAAAAATAAAGAAGTTATGGGGGGGGGGTGTCGGGGAGAAGAAGCCTCAGTATAAGCCAACAGAGAGGTCTTCCAGTTAAAGTACAAGCAGCTCATGTAATTTTTTATATGTCTTGTGTGTACTTTAGACACAGTTCCAAAAATATGGTCACATGTTTTAGAAGCTGCAAATAAGTATCTGAATTAGGTACAATGGCAACAGCAAACATTTATAATTTGCTTTGAAGTCTAGAATAAACATTGAGTGAGTGAATGAATGAATGAATAGCAATCTGGGGCCACAGAGTAGAGACCAACATCTCTAATCCTCTCAAAACCTTCTTAATCATCAGAATACAGGAAAATAAATTAATATTTGTATCAACTAACCCAGAAAAGGTTTAATTAGATGTAGATTATATATTAGAAAAAGTCTGGGAAGTTTTTAATATCCTAGAATATTTATGTAAAAATATAGAAATAATAAAGAAAATTTGTACACTTAAATGGGCTTAGGGTACCCAGAAAAATCACATACATAGAATATTTCTTTCACTAATTATACAGGATAAATGAGGTGTCACAGTAAAATATAACTTTTGTCCTATTATATTATATACTACAATATTAGAAACTTAAGCAAAATGAAATTAGGAAAGTTTCACAAAGAATCAAATTAATTATTAAAGAGGGAAGGTAATAAATCTATTCAATACCCCAAATCGGAATCTGAGTGAAGCTGAAGAACTGATGGATCTGTATCCCAATGCAGCGTCCTAAATAGTTGTAGGACAACCATGAAGCATTAGCAAAAAAGGTCATAAGTTAGTTAAGCAAATACTTTCTATTAATAGCCACAGCTAAAGTACTGTTCACAGTTAAAAACCACATGTTCTGGTTAGTACCAAAAGAAAGGAACAAACATACATCAGGTATTACTCGATGCTCTAGTGCATGCAATAAGCATAATATGGTTAAAAATGCAAGCATAAAACCCAGAATAGTTAAAAGACAGTATTTTCAGATCACAGGAAACTAATATTGTAAAATAACTAATTAAAAAAACTAAAGCAGATAACAACCCAAATATTACTTTATTTGTGGATGATAACAAGCTAGGCTATAAAATAATTCAAATTTTAAGATTTCTAATTTTTAAAACATTAGTTAAAATATTCTAATCTTGCCCAAAGCATTAAATGTGTGCAGGAAATTGTCATATTGGTAAAGGAAATGAGTCAACACATAAGCCTTTCGTAAGAAAACCAAAGACTATCCCACTGGGATACAAAATAGCTAAAGTTTCCAAAATGTGACCCTTCTGTAATTTATGGGTTAAGCACTGCCTTGGGCTTACATGTCATCTGCTTTAGAAAACAACTAAAGATTTCTGTGTCTAGGAACAAATAGATTTTTTCCCTAGAGAAATATTTTATATTCGAAGGATTTACCTAACTTTTGGAGCATATTGATCCTAAATGAATATTCAGTGATGCTTTAGCATTGCCTACTGAGTAAATAACTTTACATCAGATCTTTTCCACTTAAGCCAAATCTAGTCATTATTGGAACAAAGGTACTTTATCACAATGGCGTTCTTGTGGGTTAGCAATATAAGATGAGATAATGCTTATAGTCCCTATAAAAAAGTTAGTACTACCATTTTTGTCAAATATATTTCTCATTTATGTAATACAGATCTAGTTTTAGTTGCTACCGTATTTTAATACAACAAATGATTTCTCTACTGGCCAATATATCAATAAAATGATGGTGAATTAAAGTAGAGAAATCTTTCATTTTAAAAATAAAAAGACCATGAACTCTGAACAAGGTTGTGTATATGCAGTGAAGGAAGCAGACACATTGAAGATCTGCTTTGTACTAAAGCAAAGAACAGCAACAAAATTAGGCTTTGTTAAACCAAAAAGGGGTTCTATGAGTTGGTCGCCAAAGACTTTTCTGTTGACAGGCTTTACATTATATGAGAGCTCTAGCTGTTATCAATGACATAAAGTTTCTTGTTGAGGATGTAATTTTAGTCTAAATCAAGTAAGACTTTACTTCATAATATAGCTAGTACTGAAAAATGCACTGCACAAAATACATGACTATACTTACTATAGGTATCTTCAGATATGTAAAGGATAATTCCAATATAATTCAAAAGTCTGAGAAATAAACTGATCAAAAATGGAAAAAAGGAAGAAGATGCATATGGCTTGCCCAGTTGAATGATTATTAACTATTATTTTGGATATAAGAGAAGGGACTGAGAAAGTGAACTAGGAATTTAATAAAATGCCAATTCCTAATCTACAAAGTTAGAGAAATATCATTTCTCATTTTATCTTTTATATTTATTCATAAATTATCTTTTATATTTATTCATAAATTATCACCAATTTCAATAGAAATTCTTGGCATTTAGAAAGAATGATTCAAACATGTTTAGATATTATGTTTTAATATCAAATCTATCCTTTCCTACTATTAATCTTAGACCTCTGTCTTGGCTCACTAATGTTTTTTATTTTTTTTATTTTTTGAGACAGAGCCTCAAGCTGTCCCCCTGGG